CACTATACCACCCATTCTGTGCTTCATTATACCACCCATACTTTGTTTCATTATACCACCCATACTGTGCTTCATTATACCACCCACACTATGCTTCATTATACCACCCATACTGTGCTTCACTATACGACCCATACTGTGCTTCACTCTACGGCCCATACTGTGCTAAACTATACCACCCATACTGTGCTTCATTATACCACCCACACTATGCTTCATTATACCACCCATACTGTGCTTTACTATACCACCCATACTGTGCTTCACTCTACAGCCCATACTGTGCTAAACTATACCACCTATACCGTGCTTCGGTATACCACCTATACTGTGCTTCACTATACCACCTACACTGTGCATCACTATACCACCCATACTGTTCTTCACTATACAACCCATACTGTTCTTCACTATACCACCCATACTGTGCTTCACTATACCACCCATACTGTGCTTCACTATACCACCCATACTGTTCTTCTCTTTACAGCCTATACTGTGCTTCACTATACCACCCATACTGTGCTTCACTATACCACCCATACTGTGCTTCACTATACCACCCATACTGTGCTTCACTATACCACCCATACTGCTCTTCACTTTACAGCCCATACTGTTTTTCATTATACCACCCATAGTGTGCTTCACTATACCACCCATACTGTGTTTCACTATACTACCCATACTGTTCTTCACTATACAGCACATACTGTTCTTCACTATACCACCCATACTGTGCTTCACTATACCACCCATACTGTGCTTCACTATACCACCCATACTGTGCTTCACTATACCACCCATACTGTGCTTCACTATACCACCCATACTGTGCTAAACTATACCACCCATGCTGTGCTTCACTATACCACCCATACTGTGCTAAACTATACCACCTATACTGTGCTTCACTATACCACCCATTCTGTGCTAAACTATACCACCCATACTGTGCTTCACTATACCACCCATACTCTGCTTCAATATACCACCCATACTGTGCTAAACTATACCCATACTGTGCTTCACTATACCTCCCATACTGTGCTAAACATTACCACACATACTGTGCTTCACTATACCACCCATACTGTGCTTCATTATAACACCCATACTGTGCTTCACTACACCACCCATACTATGCTAAACTATACCACCTATACTGTGCTTCACTATACCACCCATACTGTTCACTATACCAACCATACTGTGCTTCACTATACCTCCCATTCTGTTCTTCTCTATACAACCCATACTGTTCTTCATTATACCACCCATATTGTGCTTCACTATAACACCCATACTGTTTTTCACTACACCACCCATACTGTTCTTCTCTATACCACCCATACTGTGCTTCACTATACCACGCATACTGGTCTTCACTATACCACCCATATTGTGCTTCACTATAACACCCATACTGTTTTTCACTATACCACCCATACTGTTCTTCACTATACCACCCATACTGTGCTTCACTATACCAGGCATACTGGTCTTCACTATACCACCCATACTGTGCCTCATTATACCACCCATACTGTGCTTCATTATACCACCCACACTGTTCTTCACTGTACCACCCATATTGTGCTTCACTATACCACCCATATTGTTCTTCACTATACCAACCATACTGTGCTTCACTATACCACCCATATTGTGCTATACTATACCACCTATACTGTGCTTCACTATACCACCCATACTGTGCTTCACTATACCACTCATACTGTTCTTCACTATACCACCCATATTGTGCTATACTATACCACCTATACTGTGCTTCACTATACCACCCATTCTGTGCTTTATTATTCCACCCATACTGTGCTTCATTATACCACCCATACTGTGCTTCACTATGCCACCCATACTGTTCTTCACTATACCACCCATAATGTTTTTCACTATACCACCCATACTATGCTTCATTATACCACCCATATTGTGCTTCATTATACCACATATACTGTTCTTCGTTATACCACCCATACTGTGCTTCACTATGCCACCCATACTGTGCTTCATTATACCACCCATACTATGCTTCATTATACCACCCATACTGTTCTTCACTGTACCACCCATACTGTTCTTCAATATACCACCCATACTGTTCTTCACTATACAACCCATTCTGTGCTTCATTATACCACCCATACTCTGCTTCATTATACCACCCATACTGTGCTTCATTATACCACCCATACTGTGCTTCACTATACGACCCATACTGTTCTTCACTATACCACCCATACCGTTCTTCACTATACGACCCATACTGTACTTCACTATACCACCCATACTGTGCTTCACTATACCACCCATACTGTGCTTTATTATACCACCCATATTATGCTTCATTATACCACCCATACTCTGCTTCATTATACCACCCATACTGTTCTTCACTATACCACCCATTCTGTGCTTTATTATACCACCCATATTATGCTTCATTATACCACCCATACTCTGCTTCATTATACCACCCATACTGTTCTTCACTATACCACCCATTCTGTGCTTCATTATACCACCCATACTCTGTTTCATTATACCACCCATACTGTGCTTCACTGTACCACCCATACTGTTCTTCTCTATACAGCCCATACTGTGCTTCACTATACGACCCATACTGTGCTTCATTATACCACCCATACTGTGCTTCATTATACCACCTATACTATGCTTCATTATACCACCCATACTGTGCTTCACGGTACCACCCATACTGTTCTTCTCTATGCAGCCCATACTGTGCTTCATTATACCACCCATACTGTGCTTCATTATACCACCTATACTATGCTTCATTATACCACCCATACTGTGCTTCACTGTACCACCCATACTGTTCTTCTCTATACAGCCCATACTGTGCTTCACTATACGACCCATACTGTGCTTCACTCTACGCCCCATACTGTGCTTCACTATACCACCCATACTGTGCTTCACTATACGACCCATACTGTGCTTCACTCTACGCCCCATACTCTGCTTCAGTATACCACCTATACTGTGCTTCACTATACCACCTATACTGTGCTTCGCTACACCACCCATGCTGTTCTTCACTATACAACCCATACTGTTCTTCACTATACCACCCATACTGTGCTTCACTATACCACCCATACTGTGCTTCACTATACCACCCATACTTTTCTTCTCTTTACAGCCTATTCTGTGCTTCACTGTACCACCCATACTGTGCTTCACTATACCGCCCATACTGTGCTTCACTATACCACCCATACTGTGCTTCACTATACTACCCATACTGCTCTTCACTATACAGCCCATACTGTTTTTCATTATACCACCCATAGTGTGCTTCACTATACCACCCATACTGTTTCACTATACCACCCATACTGTTCTTCACTATACAGCCCATACTGTTCTTCACTATACCACGCATACTGTGCTTCACTATACCACCCGTACTGTGCTTCACTATACCACCCATACTGTGCTTCACTATACCACCCATTCTGTGCTAAACTATACCACCCATACTGTGCTTCACTATACCACCCATACTGTGCTAAACTATACCACCTATACTGTGCTTCACTATACCACCCATACTGTGCTAAACTTTACCACCCATACTGTGCTTCACTATACCACCCATACTCTGCTTCAATATACCACCCATTACTGTGCTAAACTTTACCCATACTGTGGCTTCACTATACCCCCCTTTACTGTGCTTCATTATACAACCCCCATACTGTGCTTCACTATACCACCCATACTATGCTAACCTATTCCACCTATACTGTGCTTCGCTATACCACCATACTGTGCTTCATATACCACCTATACTATGCTTCACTAACCCCTATACTGTGCTTCACTATACCACCTATACTGTGCTTCACTATACCACCTATACTGTGTTTCACTATACCTCACTCATTTCCTAGTTATCCACTGTTGCTTTCAATCAATTTTCTCGACTTAACATTAGTTAGATTAAGGCTAGACTGTCGTCTATTAACAATAAAAAATCGTCTAGCACAACTTTTATAAATATATCACAGAGCAGTGTGCTGCGGCCATTTTTTGAGTGATAGTTACATGGTGGGAAGTAAAATTAATATATTTAAAGCGCGAGTAAAGAACGGGGCTCAAGGAGCTCACTTTACAACAAACAGTGAGATAATAACTGTTGACGGAACGTATTTAACTGTTTCAGCAAGTGAAATACTCATTTTGATTAATAGTACTGACTGCACGTTTATAGTTATGGAAGTTTATTATTATTATTATTATTATTGTTATTATTTAATAGAAAGCATTAGTATGATTTAGGGGAAGCTTATTATAAGTTAAGATATAGCCTGAGGAGGTTCATCGGACGTACAAACGTAATGCTGTGTTGTGGTCTCCCACAATTCCCCACACCCCTCACACATACAATAGTAATGTTTGTTGTGGTCTCCCACAGTTCCCCACACCCCTCACACATACAATAGTAATGATGTGTTGTGGTCTCCCACAGTTCTCCATGCGTACAAAAGTAATGTGTTGTTGTCTCTCACACTTCCCCATATTCCACACACGTACAAAAGTAATGCTGTGTTGTCTCCTCACTGTTCGCCGCTCGAGCTGCCATGAATTCTTTAAAATCTTATTTGCATTTTTCCCAATAGGCTGAAATAGGTGGCTTTATACCTCAATGGTAGCACCATAGGCTCACCACCTGAAGTGGGTTCATTCCAGGGGGTGGACGGAGTTATTATGTAAGTTCTTCTAGCACTAAAAAGTTACCTGGGCGTAACTCGGCTCCCGTGGGTAGAATGCTGGGAAGGGAGTGCAAAAATACTTTAGATCAGACTAGGCCTTGAAATGAGCCAAGAACAGCTGTTAGCCTGTAAATATTCTTGAACCGGATTACAACTATAATATTGTAAATTCTCTGGCGCAAACAAATCCTAAATAGTTGGTAAATCTTTTTTTTTTCTTTTTTATAGGTTACCAAGTCAGCTGCTCAAGAATATCACTTTGCGTCATTGTGCGCACTATTTGTGAATTTTCAGGACAAAATAACGAATCAACTATAGAGGAGTTTATGTGCAATATATGTTAGCTACTGCTGTTGCAAAGCCCCATTGTCCAGTGACTGGTTGACCACTGAAGATGGAGTCTGAGAACAGTAATCAAGCATCTCTGCTCTCGCCACAAACCTTCAACTCTGACACCACCCACGCTGGCCTCCCCACATACGCATATTTCTACCTACTCGGAACTTACGTAAACCCGAGCACATTACTGCTTTTTCTGGCCAGCAACTTTTTATGCTTGGTAAGTTCACAAGTGAGAGGCCAACTGTTTCACTCTCACCCACCGTAATCCGTTTTTTATTTTATTGCGTGTGAAAGTTTATGTCGAATATTAGCCATTTTCTAGTGCATAATCAAGTGCAACTTCCTGATTATTCCATTAGTGAAATTTAGATTATGAATGTTACTTTCCTCACTCTAACTTCCCTTCCATTCAGACTAAAATTCACATGAGGAACCAAAGATATTTATATCCGAGTGAATATTCAACACTGGAAGTGTTATTTTAAAACTACATATATTTGGTATCAGTCTAACGAATAGTTTCTCGTCTTCCTATCACACAGCTTAGTCTCGTGGTATTTATGAAGTTTAGTCTGGTCAGTCAATACTCTACAGCGAATGAACACGTACGTCAGTCCCAGGCACGTGAAATCAGGTTTATCAATGAAACACTAAATTTCAACACTGTAGCTAACAGAATAATCATACTGACTGCATTCTCTGGACGCCTATTAATGCGGGTGTTTGTTGCGAGTAAGGGATTTAAAAAGTATTTAAATTTTATCTTGGGGGTTCTATGAAGTAGCTCAGGTAGTAGTTAGCCTGTAACTAGATCGTCCCTTATTAGCAACAAGGTATTGGAACACCATTAATCCTTGTTTTTCTTTTGAATATGGGTAATGGTGTAATTTTCAGTAGGAAACAAAGTTCAACAGAAAAATATACGATATTCAGTAATAGTGTTTAATCACAACACTGTTCTTCTCTTTATACATTAAATACAACGTATTTCATTACCTTAATATTGTAGGTACGATTTCTTTAAGTCAAGATAATAAATTTACATATAAGTTTTAAACACAATTTCACTAGGAATATCACTTTACATACATATTGACAGATCATAAGAAATTTCAAATAATGTTCCTAAATGTCCAGTTCAATCCAAGAGATTGTATGATTATCTTTTTTAAGTTAGCAACAATGAAATGGAATAATGACCGTCGCTGAAGACTTTTCTATAGAAAGTCAAATAGTGGCTAGACACTATTACTGCCAACTACGTCTAAACGTAGTTATGTACGAGATCTATCTCCTATAATAAAGGGAAAAATAGACAAATAACAAATGTCTGAAAGATATATTCGTCCAAAGACTGCACAACTGAACGAGACTAGGAATAACTCAGTTCTCCAACAATGCACCGAGTAAACTTAAGAGTCACCCGAAACTCTTATTCTCAAAGAATTGCGAAACTGCGAAACTTGACCAAGCAACGAGAGGAGAGATGTATTCTCTCTACTCAGGGCTGGACCAGGGAGCAGATTGCTTGACTGTTAACCTGACATGAGGTTGGATCACGTGACCCAGCCCACGTAAGCTAGAGCTTAAACCAGTTAACAGTATTTGACGTGATGGTTTTCCATTAGGGTTGTTCACATCATAAAATAAAACGACCCTACTTATTTACTCTTATTTCTTTTTTTTCTTTTTTCTTTTTTCTTTTTTTCTTTCTTTTTTCTTCTCATGGTAATTGTTGTGACAGATAAAAATATAAAGCCGAACAGCTTCATTTTAGCTATTAGTGAAGATCTTCGTGATATAATATTAAGTGAGAATCACTTTCCCTGAGCGTATCTAAATATTACATTGTGGTGAACTATTTCCAGCGCGCAACAGTGTGGTCTCTCCATCCTTCCCGTGACTTATAATACACAAATTTTATTGTTGATTTAGCTGTGGTATTAAATGACAATATCTAAATTTTCATTCTATGTTAGATTTTATCTATTCAGATTTCACTTCTGCAACTATTTTATCAAGGAAGTTTAATATTCTAAATTTTATAATGAGGAGTTAGTCCACATCACTTAACATATTAAAGCTTTTAACATTTTGAGTTTCATTGCCACTTCACTTTACAAAAGCATAATTAATCTATTGAACCCTATAGCATTAAGCTTTTTTGAAACAACTTTTAGGTAGAATAAGTTTAAAATATTATCGACTCTCTGGTAAGGTGGGTCCCATCTATCGTCGTCTTCCTTTCTAAATTAATCTATTCAGTAACTTCCAGTGCTAGTCACAGCATTATGCCGCCCCTCCTCCGCACACGTACCAAAACACAAACACATACCATGAAAGATTATAATATATATATTTGCACACTTACTGAGGTTTTAATACTTGGAGCCGTGTGTTATATGCTTAATCACAACCCTCAGCCGTGTAGGAAGACTCCAGCCGTGGGATGGAACTGATATCCTTGCCCAGTAAGCTTCATTTCACTATTGACCACAGGTTCTCAATAGGGTTTAGGTCTGGGGAATTGCCACTGAACTACAGATTTGATTGTATGACAGTGCACCGTCCTGCATAAAAACTATAGCCCCACACTTGTCGAACGCCTCAGGTAAATTGTCACACAATAACTTCAGGTAATTATACTGGCTCATGTGCTGGTTTTTGGGAAGCACAATGAACTCAACAACACTCTGAGCACTGAAACACCCCACAAACATGAGCAAGTCTGGGTGTTTGGTGGTCCCCCAGGAGTAGCGTGGGTCTAGCGCGTCACTACCTCTGGGCCGGTACAAATGTCTCCCATGGTTACAGGTGACGGTGAAGGTTGCTTCATCTCTCCAAAGTACTTCAGACCACTGTTGAATATTCCAGTGGAGATATTTCTTTGCATAATTCAGCCGACGTTTCTTTTGTGGCTTGGAGAGGATTGGTTTCTTAACCTGGCAGTGACACACATTTGTTAACAGTTCTTACAGACACCTCTGAGAGAAGATGTGGGTTCTTTGCTTTCAATTCTCTAGCAGTTATCTTATGTGTACTCTCTAACTGCTTCTTTAACACAGTTAAGGTACGAACAGATGTCTTCGAGGGGCCAGGCTGAGATTTGGCAGACAGTAACTCGACACCACCATCAGCCTTGAAATGCTGCACCCAGTTCCTCACTGAACTCTCACACACCAACATTCTCCACTATTTTTTTCATCTGGTGCCCAGCTTTGTAAAGCCCTATGATTTGAGTTATAGTTTCAAGTGTTAAAGGCTTCCCTTTACCCATAACCAAACATGTATTGCCCCAAAACCAAAGGGAACACCAAACAAAAGATGGGGCGGATGAGAGACAAAAGTGCAACACTTCTCACCACGGCAGCCACGTGAGCACTGAGGAGTCACTGTGGAGTGTGGCGGCAGGTCATGACGTCATGTTAATGGCTGCTACCCAGCATAATGCACTGACGAAAAAGACCCTCCTGTATCGTAGGCCTTTGATTTTCGTCACGGCATTATGCCGGGGCTCTCACCCAGCATAATGCCGTGACTAGCACTGTATTTTCGACGTCAGTATCAAGAGTGACTAAATCTTAAATATTTTTCGTCTTATTTCTCGTTTTAGTTATATTGCTGTTAATAATATAATGTTGGTCTTCGTCCTCAACCAGCAGAATTAAACCCTAGAAACTAAATTCCTCAAAAGTTTAGTTTGGCACTTTCTCATTGTTCACTTTCAACATTTCCTTTTCCATATGTATTTTTCAAAAACAAGGGTCTTCTTACAAATTTTCACAGCCCACCATGGCCTACAAATTTTTAACGTGAACCCCTTGGGGTCCAGGGACCCAAGAAAATCTTTGACCCACAGTGATATATAGGTTTCGGTAGTCATTGCCAATAATGGGTCTAAGTTTTTTTACGCAAATAAAAATTTACTGTAACCTTAAATTTATTTATCTTACAAAACTGTGGACTTTAATGGCGTGACATTGCCAGAAGCGGGAATAGTGGCCTTAGGGCCTGAAGTCGATGCTACATTCTGGGTGGTTCGTATCTCTCTGTGATGTGGAGTGAGGGATCTTCAAGTTCTCAAACCGTTCTATTTTAGTATAAATGCAAATATCACGTCTAATAAATGTGATTTACTTAATGAAAGGACTTAAAATGGCTCTATAGTATACTGTGCGTCAAACTCCGTATCATTCATAGTAAATTTCCCAAAAAATAATTATGTGACTCATTCTCTTGCACATTATTTCGTTTATAAAATGAAAATACAGATGCAACCAGCTTTCACTTTATCCTTTCCATATACCGAATCTCCACATCGATTGCAGTTGATTGCCTACCACTTTCTCGCCATCTACCGAGCAGCCAGAAGTCACCAGCAGCATGACTCCCGTAACTTGGAGGAGGAGACTGAGTCCAGGAAGGTAGTGGCTGAACCTGGAGGCTGGTTGAGACCAGTGAGCAACATAGAAACGTTTTCAGCATCAACATTGATTCTAGGCACTGGTAACACTGCTCAGGTGTTGTGGCTCTCCTCGTCTCAGCCCATCACACCTGAGGACGTTAATCAAGCTCTCTCCGTAATAGCTGAGTGAGTATAAGATTTTGTAAACATAGCTTTAGAGAACAAAACCTTTAAGGTTTTGTTCTCTAATATATATATATATATATATATATATATATATATATATATATATATATATATATATATATATATATATATATATATATATATATATATTTGTTCTCTCTCTCTCTCTCTCTCTCTCCTCTCTCTCTCTCTCTCTCTCTCTCTCTCTCTCTCTCTCTCTCTCTCTCTCTCTCTCTCTCTATATATATATATATATATATATATATATATATGTATGCCAGGCATGAGGAGGTCAATGATATCATAAAGAGAAGCCTCGCCACAGCCCGTTGCCCAGCTCAACGGGAACCCCAAGTGCAGAGGTCTGACGGAAGTCTAAAGCGTCCTGATGGAGCCACTATGCTACCTTGGAAGGATGGAAAGCAGATTGCCTGGGACTACACATGTGCCGCCACATTGGCAGACACCTACTTGCCATACTCCGTAGTGGAAGGGGGTGGAGCTGCCAGCCACAGGGAGACTCAGAAGATCCGCAAATATGAAGACCTTCCCCCTTGTTATAACTTCATCCCAATAGGGTCAGAGACCCTTGGAGCATGGGGCAAGTGTGCTCTAAAGTTCCTAATAGAGCTGGGTGAAAAGCTCATCATAGAAACAAAGGACCACAGGGCGACCAGCTTCCTCTTCCAGAGACTCAGTGTTGCGATCCAGAGAGGAAATGCCTGCAGCATTCTGGGCACGCGGCCCCCCGCCTGGGAGCTGGACGAAGTATTCGAGATGTAGCTCTGAGTTACCTATGTTATTTTACTTTGTATCGTAGTTTTGTGAATGTTCTGTCAATGTATTTTGTCTTTAAATAAAATATATATATATATAATATAGGGGGTGGTAGGAGAAAATTCTCAAACAGCTTCAGGGAGAATATTGAGTTTTCCCTGAAGCAAGTTTATTCTTTTCTCTGAGGATGAGGGTCCCTATAACAGTTCTAGAGGTGGTACCTCCCTATATTTATATATATATATATATATATATATATATATATATATATAATATATAATATATATATATATATATTATATAATATTATATATATGTCGTGCCGAATATGTAAAACTGGTCAATTAGCAAGAACTCATTTAAAAACTTACCTAACCTTATTATAACAAGAGCAATTTATGTTTCCATTCTGATGGAATGGCCTGATTAAAAGAGTATTTTTTGTTTCTCAATATTTTGAATGTTTCCTTCTCCTGTATTTTAGTTATTTCAATATGTTTCTGAAGAATAATTCTCATAAAATCATCAAAAGGACGATCTCTCATGTCAAGGAGTCTATTGGGTAAAAGAGACTTGGGGAGAACTTGTTCATTTAAACAATTAAGTCGAATTTTTAACTTGTGGGACTTGATCAGTGCAGAAGAAAACTGTGAAACAAAAGATATATGATTAGGAAAGCTTATCGAGAACATTCTGAAGAGTCGTGTGGTATCCATTAATGCAATAAGATCACAGTAAACAGGTGATTTCAAAATATGCAAAACAACCACTCTGAAAGAATAGAGAAATTCCAAGCGCTTTCGTGACTACTCACATTATCAAGGAACTATGAAAGTGAAGCATCCAAGGAAGCTATATAAGGGGTCGGCCAGCACCTCACTATCAGATCCCACAACGGTTAAACACGTGACGCGCGGCGAGCCAACTTGGACAGGTCCTTTGCAAAACTCACCCCCAAGCTATTTATTTGTCCAGTGTATTATTAAATTCTACCCAAATTCTATTAATTATAAATGGATCTAATTTATATAAACCAAAGGAAATATTCATATTATTGTCAAAACTGCTTTTTATGAAACAAGATTCAATTATATTCCTGTCGACCATGGACATAGGAACAGTTATTTGTAGGTTTTCTGTAAATTTTAAATTTGAATTCATTATTACCCTTAATAATTAAAACATCTAGAAGTTTGGTATGGCAATGGGAAATCCTCTTTCACCTGTTCTTAGTAACCTATACATGGAATTTTTTGAAACAAGGTTGCTTAACACAATCCTCCCTAATAGAGCTAAATGGTTCAGATATGTTGATGATATTTTGTGTCTTATGCCCAAAAATGTAGATATACACCATTTTCTTGGAAAATTAAATAGCTTAGCCCATTCTATAAACTTTACTGTTGAGTTTGAAGAAAATAACTCATTGCCTTTTCTAGATGTTTTAATTATTAAGGGTAATAATGAATTCAAATTTAAAATTTACAGAAAACCTACAAATAACTGTTCCTATGTCCACTATTATTCCTCGCATCAAGATAGAGTCAAACTGTCTGTTTTCTCATCAATGTTTTTGAGAGCTTTACGAATTTGTAGTCCTGAGTTCATAGATGAGGAAATATCCAAAATTTATGAAATAGGTAACGATTTAAAATACCCAAGAAATGTAATTGATAAATCTTTTAAAGTTGCTAGGAACACTTTTTATAATCCAAAAAAGGGCAACCAGCCTTATTCAACTAAAAATATGTTGGTTCTCCCTTACCATGAAAACTTGGTTGATATGCCTTCTCTTCTTAAGACTTTTAATATTAAAGTTGTATTCAAAAATCTTGATACAGTAAAAAAAACTTTTGATTAAGAACTCCCCTCAAAATGCTGATGGATGTGTCTATAAGATTCCTTGTAAAATTTGCGATAAAGTTTATTACGGTCAAACTGGTAAAAATCTCGAACTAAGATTAAAACAACATAAATATAGCATTAGAACTGGACAAGATTCCAATGCTCTATTTATTCATGTAAGAGATTTTAACCATCCAATTGATTTTCAAAAAGTTGAGAAAGTAGTATCAAGCAAGTCCATGGTCGACAGGAATATAATTGAATCTTGTTTCATAAAAAGCAGTTTTGACAATAATATGAATATTTCCTTTGGTTTATATAAATTAGATCCATTTATAATTAATAGAATTTGGGTAGAATTTAATAATACACTGGACAAATAAATAGCTTGGGGGTGAGTTTTGCAAAGGACCTGTCCAAGTTGGCTCGCCGCGCGTCACGTGTTTAACCGTTGTGGGATCTGATAGTGAGGTGCTGGCCGACCCCTTATATAGCTTCCTTGGATGCTTCACTTTCATAGTTCCTTGATAATGTGAGTAGTCACGAAAGCGCTTGGAATTTCTCTATTCTTTCAGAGTGGTTGTTTTGCAATATATATATATATATATATATATATATATATATATATATATATATATATATATATGTTGTGCCGAATATGTAAAACTGGTCAATTAGCAAGAACTCATTTAAAATTAAGTCCGTTCTAAAATTTTCTCTTATACGTTTAAAGATGTATTTTTTTCATTAATGTTAATGTAAAAAAATTTTAATTTTGCACCAAAAGAATCTTAGAAAACTTACCTAACCTTATTATAACAAAAACAATTTATTTTAGCCTAACCCAACTAAATATATTTTAGATTTGTTTACAGTAATTTAATACCAAACAAACACAGTGAAATATATTTTTTTCGTTAGGTTCAGCATGATTTTGGCGAAATTGTTGCATACACAAATTTTCACTTGTCCTATATGGCAAGATGAACGTTGCTATTTAAGCCAAGATCGCAAATTCTGCCTATTCGGCACGACATATATATATATATATATATATATATAATATATATATATATATATATATATATATATATATATATATATATATATATATATATATATATATATATATATAAAAGTGAGTGTAAAACGAAAGCCTGTAATTGTTTTACATGATGGTAGGATTGCTGGTGTCTTTTGTTTGTCTCATAAATATGCAAGATTACAGGTATGTCTTGCTACTTCTACTTACACTTAGCTCACACTACACATACATGTACACGTTTATTTATACACGCTCATCTGAGTTTTCTTTGATTTTATCTTAATAGTTCTTGGTCTTATTACTTTTCCTTTTATATCCATGGGGAAGTGGAATAAGAATCTTTCCTCCGTAAGCCATGCGTGTTGTAAAAGTCAACTAAAATACCGGGAACAATGGGCTAGTAACCCCTTTTCCTGTAAAGATTACTAAAAAGAATAAGAAGAAAATTGTCAAAGTGGGAAGTCTGAATGTGCGTGGATGTTGTGCAAATGATAAGAAAGAGATGATTGGGTATGTTATGAATGAGAAGAAGTTGGACGTCCTGGCTTTAAGTGAAACAAAGCTGAAGGGGGTGGGAGAGTTTCAATGGAGAGGAATAAATGGGATTAGGTCAGGGGTTTCAAATAGAGTTAGAGCTAAAGAAGGAGTAGCAATAATGTTGAAGGATAAGCTATGTCAGGAAAAGAGGGACTACAAATGTATAAATTCAAGGATTATGTGGAGTAAAATAAAGATTGAATGTGAAAAGTGGGTTATAGTAAACGTATATGCACCTGGAGAAGAGAGAAGTGTAGAGGAGAGAGAGAGATTCTGGGAAATGTTGAGTGAATGCGTGGAGAGTTTTGAACCAAGTGTGAGAGTACTTGTGGTTGGGGATTTCAATGCTAAAGTGGGTAAAAATGTTGTGGAGGGAATAGTAGGTAAATTTGGGGTGCCAGGGGTAAATGTAAATGGGGAGCCTTTAATTGAGCTATGTGTAGAAAGAAATTTGGTAATAAGTAATACATATTTTATGAAAAAAGAGGATAAAGAAATATACAAGGTATGATGTAGCACGTAATGGAAGTAGTTTATTAGATTATGTATCGGTGGATAAAAGGTTGATGGATAGTCTCCATGATGTACACGTTTATAGAGGGGCAACTGATATATCGGATCATTATTTAGTTGTAGCTACAGTTAGAGTAAGAGGTAGATGGGACAAGAGGAAGGCGGCAACAACAAGTAGGAGGGAAGTGAAAGTGTATAAACTAAGGGAGGAGGAAGTTCGGGTGAGATATAAGCGACTATTGGCAGAAAGGTGGGCTAGTGCAAAGATGAGTAGTGGGGGGGG